ATTACAATCATTGTGAGAGTAGAAGAAATGTTATCAAAACTCTTATTAATAAAGCAATTTTTTTTCTTGTAATGTTTAAGTTTTTGTTGATAATAATGTAATTAATTATTATAAATCTACAAATCTATAAATATTATAAAAAAAATACCAAAACCTTTAATCTATTTTTGGTCTCTAATTTTATTAAGATTAATTTATCCTTCAAAACTTTCATTAACTTGTTTCATTTCATCTCTTTTCTCTTTCATTCATTTTCTTCTGAATAAAATATATAAAGAGATAAAGTGTCTCTTTTTCACAAGTATATAAAAGAAAATACTGCAACATCTTTTTATTTCCACAGTGATTTTGAGTATTACAACTTTAATTATTTAAAAAAATTAGAAAATCAATTTCTTTTAGTAATTACCATTCATCAACTCTTTGAATAACTGCTTAGTCTTTTGGAAATAGTCATTGAATTTTTTTTATGCTTTTTTATTTTTATTTTTTTTGTTTTTAAAACATATTGAGAGACATATAGTGTCTCTTTTTCCCTAATTAATGGTGGTCTTGATGTTTGTTGCCACAAAGTTAAGGCACGTGGAGAAGTGCTCCTTCCGTTTTTTTTTCATAGTCGTTTTGTCAGAGTTTGTTATTTTTTTTATTGTCATTTTACTAAATTCAATGACTTATTAATTTTTTTCCCTATTTTTACCTTTGATAATTAATACATGTTTACTAAACCGTGTGTATTTATTTTTAATGTCTACCTATTTTTTCTCCAACTACTCATATAAAGTTAATGTGCATTTATAAGAACAATATGTTCCCAACAAAATACAATAAAAAAAACAAAAAAAAAAAAAGCAAGCACTATAAAAAAAACAATATGTAATCAATGCATTAATAATTAATGGGATAAATTGCAGTTCAACAGTCTCAAAAATGTAAAAAAAAAAATAAGGATAAAATAGAAAAGTAAGTAATAAATATTTTTAAAAACTAAAATATCAATGATTTCTTTAAGTCCCGTGCAAAACCTTAAACGATTATGAAAAAAGAACGGAGGGAGTACCAAATTATTTGGGAGTCATTGTTGAAATTTTAGAGAAATATGAAGAATGTTAAACACTAAAGATAGAATCCATGAGTCTTAATCAGGCATCGTTTGCATGTGTTGAGGATATATATCATGGCCAGAATAACAACCATGAGGGGGCCGGGACCTTTACATGCATGAACAAGAGACTTGATAATCTTGACAACTACCGAGTTAATTGTTATCACAGGGACCAAAGTCTAATTAAGATTAATTGTTTTGTGTTGCATATTTGGATCGGAATGTGAACTTAATTGCTACATATATCTGGATGAGATTTTAAATTAATTGTTGTAGTTATCTGGATTATGGGACTTTATTCTTAATTTAATTATAGCTTGATATTGATCCCTTTTTCTTTTTTACTTCCAATTGATGATGTTATTAATTAAATAAGTGTATTGTAAATGTAAAATCTAGAAGAATTATTTTCTTTCAGATTTTTCTTGAACCAAACACATTACAAATAAGATAGCGATATATATATATATATATATTAGTGATAGATATTATTGTAACATTTATTGAGATGCAAATGATAATATATAAAGCACTCCCCAGTGGGATACAATGGAGGAAATTAAACCATCTTTATTCCCTCTTTGCTGGTTATTACTGCGAAACAAGTATTAGACAAGCGTAAACCCTCGTGCAAGCTGTTCGGTTTACCCTACAACGAACAAAGTGAATTTGATGTTACTGTCGTCTATAAATATATAATATATATGCATGAAATGTCCCAATGTTGTGTAGTTTGATAGGTTGACTATGGTGTGTAAGTATATGTTCATGGGTTGAAAGTGTATACTACAACAAAATAGATTTTTAGTGGTATTTAATATGACTTTTAGTGGCAATAAAAATTGCTAAAAAATTTTTTACTGGCATTTTAACATTAGCCATTGTATGAGGTAATGTGAGACTTGTAAGATGAGGGTTGTCTTCTACTTATATATATTTTTTAATTTTCTTATTTCTAGAATGGCTAATGTAAGACTTGTAAGATGAAGGTTGTCTTCTACTTATATATTCTTTTTAATTTTCTTATTTCTAATTGATGTGAAACTTGTAAGATAAGGATTGTCTTCTATTTATATATATTTTTTAATTTTTTAATTTTTTTAATTATCTTATCAATAGTCGGTCCCCTCAAGTTTAGGGACTATTAAGTTTGATAATAGTAAGTTTAGGGACTATTGAGTTTGATAATAGTGAGTAATCTCATACCAACTTAGAACAATAAGTTATAGGTCTAACTCAACCCTACAAAAAAAACTTATAAGGTGAGAGTTATCATCTATTTATATACTCTTTAATTATCTTGCTTCTAGTCGATGTGAGACTAAAATTTTTCTTAATAAATAATTGTCGCTAATAATAAATTTTGGTGTGATGTAAATACATTTTTAGTGATCATTATATATTAATTATTAATACTTTTATTAAATAATAAAATAAAGGTAATTAATTTATTGTCGTTAAATAATTGTCGGTAATAATAAATTTTGTTGTAGTGATAATCGATTCCATATCTCAAACATTTTATCACTTTTTTTAACTAGTGTGATAAGAAATTAGAATAATCTACATAGGATTCTAAGTATAAATCTTATTGTCATTATTGTAACATCTATAGAATAAAAAATATATGTTCATATGATTAATTTAGTTTTTATTAAATAAGTTATTAAATTTGTTTTTTTTAAATAAGGTCTCAAGTTCAAGTCTTTTGTATGAAAAAATATATTTAAGAGAGAGAATTTTACTAAAAGTAATTAAACAAATTCACCGATAAAGATTAATCATAAACGAAATCGATAAATACTTCATATCAATAATATGATTAAATTAAAAAAATTACTAATGATAGAAGCTAGCAAGTACCAACACCTAATTAACTATTAATATATGACATTGAATTAGTTGATTAAGGAGAGGGTCCATATGAGTGATCTTACGTGTTGCAATCTACGGTGGGGGTGATCTTGTAGCGCAAGTTGATCCCACAGGCGCCAGGGAGGGCTGCAAGTTTTGCAAGGTTTAGTCCAGGCAAGTTCAAAACATTGCTTTTGACGCATCTACATACCCCTCGACGATCTGAGGTGGTTTTTGCTCGGTTGTTTATGCTCCTAGCCCCGTTGCAGCATATTCCTGGGACACGTTCATTAGGACTCCTTAGGTACCTTATGCATGGTGCCACTGTGAACTGCACCTCGCCACATGGAATATCAGCTTCTGCCAAGGGAATAATGTGTCCAAAACTAACCAAGAACACTGCCACAGCCACGCAGGTAAGTTTCACAAGTAGAGGGCTAGCCATGATTAGGAAATATTGGTGGAGGAAATTACACTTCAAGAGTTATAGCTAGTGAGTGTAGTGAAGGTCGTGATGATGATATTAATTTTTGTTATGTGCACTATATATAGATAGAATATAAGTTCTGCCGGGTACATTATATCAAAGGTAAATTAAGAAATTAACCTATTGTCAATCAGTTTAAATAGAACTGAATTCAATTTTTTCAAATAAAATTTTATATTTGAGTTTTATGGATTAAAAAAATATTATTGAGACTCCTCTTCATATAATTACATTTATAAAGATTAATTATTAATAAAATTGATATTCGATAATATATTGATTGATAATACGATTATGGCCTAAAGTATGTAATTATTACCGGTTGATTTCATTGAATGCAAGCAATTGAATGACCTCTAGCTAAAACCTACAAAATAATACAATGAGTAGATATTGGTTTAGTCAAATATGTATATATGACAGTTCAAAATGGGTTGCACAGTGCAAACTTGATCACCCGTTTCTGTATGTGTATGGCCATGTGGTTTGGATAGTTTCTGCATCCCCCAGAATGATCTTTTGGGCCCTAAGAGATGTTGCCACTTTCCTAAGAATTAAAATTTTTCACATGACTGCACGTTGCATGTAAATTTTAAAGTGAGATTTTTTAAAATATAATAATAATGTCTTTTAATTAAAAAAATAAAAATATTTTAAGGATGAGTTTTAAAGAATAATTATATTTACTTTAATCTCTCATAGTATCTTTATTAAATCAAGGTAATCTTTTTGCTATTTTATTAAACTAATTCGATTAATTTAATGACACGTGACAAATTACAAAAATACCACACTAGTTAAAATTAACAATTAGGTGTTTGTAAAAAAAATTGACAGAAAAATTAATTTAAGGAATATTAATAAAGACATTTTAAACTCATTATAATAAAATTATCATATAGCTAACACATATAATAGTGACACTATAGATGTCATAAAAAATTATTTTTATTCATACAATAAATATAATATATATCGGTATATTGTTAAAAAGTGTGGATATAGACTATATAATGACACAAAATATGTTATTAAATCTCATTCAAAATCAACACTAAAATTGTGTGCAATTATATGTCAAATAGATATATACCTACATATATTGTATTGATAATGATACTTTTTATATATCATTATATTTAATATTTCTTGTAATAATTTAAGGAATAGATTCGACCCTAAAATAAAAATAAGAGCTAAAATTTTATTTTATCTTATTTAAAACAAAACAAAAAAACCTCAAATTTCACACCTCCTTAAACAAACTCTCATGAATAAATTAGACTTATACTTCTATCATAATTACAATAATAATATCATAGTTTAAACTTAAAACATTGTGTATATTCCTTTAACTTCCACCACTAAATCAAATTTAATGATTGATACTCACACTCCTAGATTGAGAAAGGTTGAAATGAATTTAAAACTTAATTTGTCGGGCGGTGTCATTTTTACTCCAATTTACATGCAAAGTGACTCAAGACAACATAATAAAAGGAATTCAATAAACAATCATTTTCATTGTATATAAATAGAGGAACATGAAGAGAAGAAACCTCAACCGAAACATCAGTGGGAAAAAGGGCAGGTAGAATTGATCAATGGCGAACTCTGGTGTGGTGAAGCTGGTTTTGATGGCAACTGTGTGGGTGGCAGTTTTGAGTCCCAAAGCCGAAGCAGCAGTGACATGTGGACAAGTGGTGAGCAACCTCACTCCGTGCGTTTCCTATGTGCTGAATGGTGGCAAAACGGTGCCTGTCCCGTGCTGCAACGGGATCAAGACCCTCTACAACCTCGCTCACAACACACCAGATCGCCAAACAGTTTGCAACTGCATCAAAAACGCTATCAGGGCCATCCCTTATAGTAAGTCCAACGTAGACCTTGCTGCTGGCCTTCCAAAGAAATGTGGGGTCAACATTCCTTACAAGATCAGTCCATCCACCGACTGCTCTAGGTAATTCACTATTAACCTAATATATTAACCGATGATATATTGTCACATGTTGATAGTCGTTGAATAAAATATTTTTAATAAATATCAATATCTTAATTTAAATTAATGAAATAAAGTATTAAACGATTTTTTATGAAATAAACGAATCCTTAGATATATGTGCATATATATGAATATAAGAGTTGCATTGCTGTATGTCTTTTATCGATGGATCTTTCCGATCTGATCATGGCCATGGTTATACCCTTTTGTTTTGATGCAGGGTGCAGTGAGGTAATTAATTAATGATAAATGGAGCAGTAACTAAAGAAGGATATGCAATACTTACTGTGTGAATAAGTGGCTACATATAGGCCATACTGGCATGACTCGTAGATTCTTACATGCTTATTTAAAGCATCTACGGCTACCAGTCTTCTTATCGTATGCCTCATGCATGTTTGTGTTTCTTTCTCAGCTGTTTATGCATTTAAATAAATGGATGCGCAGTTTGTCTCTAAATGATACACCATCTCTGATATATGCTTGAACCTTTCTCACTCTCTCAGAGTAGAGAACTAAAATTCAGCTAAGATCATTTGTATCATTATATAAAGGAGTGTGTGACTCAAATCATGAAACTCAATTTAAAAACAATATTAATAACAACTATCATATTAAAATAAATTATATAAATTAAAAGATTATGAATAAAGTTATTATGTATCATTATCATTATAATTTTTCTATCACTATTGTTATGATCGTCATTATTATAATTACATGTATTTTCATAATATTGTCATTATACTACTACCACCTCTAATGTTGCTATTAGTGCTATTATTGTTATTGTTATTGTTGTCACTGTCATTATCATTGTTATTGTCACTATCATTGTCACCATTGTTAATGATAATAGTTGTAACGATAGAAATAATGTTGTAGCAATGATGCGATAAAAATGGAAGTGAAAGCGATAAAGATAGAAGTGAAAGTGATGACAATTATAATAACAGTGACAACAACAATAATGATAAAAGGAACTACAATCACAATAATACTTGATAACTTTATTTGGAATGATTTAATTTAAGCCTTTTATTTTTGTAAGAATTATTATTAATTATTTTCATATTTTGATATTAATAAGTATTCTTACTTGAGTCATTCTCATATAAAATATTTTTTAATAATTATTTTTATTTTTTATTTTTATATGAATGTTTTACTCCTTATTTATTTTTTTTAAAAAATTACTTATAACTGCTCATAAAAATAATAATTACTTTTTCTTCTTTTAATCACATATGGAATGTCCTTTTTCTACCGGAATATACTCACAAATTCAACCGATAATTTTTTATAGTTTTTATGAGACTCAAATCAAGAATATGGTTTAATGTTTTATAAGAATTAATTTAAAATAGTTTTTTAAAATTAATTATTATTTTCTTAACAAGAAATACAATTTATTAAAGAAATACGCATACATACTTGAATAATAAGGATTCAACACAAGTTTTAAATTTGGAGTATAAATTACTATATTATATTATATTATATTATATATATATATATATATATATGTATGTATAGGACAAAAGAAATATAAATACGTATATATATTTTTATATACTAAATAAAACTTTTCTATGGATAAAGAAGAAAAATAAAAAGATACATACGTACTTGAATAATCGGGATCAATTGAAGCATTGGGTTTGTTTACCGAGAAAAGCAAAATGCTAAAAAAGAAAAATGTCACAAAAGGAAAAAAAAAAAAAAAAAAAAAGGAAAGTGATATATGGTAGACAATAGACATTGATTCAAATCCACTTGATAATAAGTCATACAAAAAAAACGGAGAAATATATGAGATAATTCATCAAGTAAATAGTAATCATGATGAATTCATGGAGTCAACGCTGGTGAACTCATCACTGCTCTACGAAGTTTATCACAAGAACATGCATATAATCTTAATTTGCAGTTTGATCAAAGAATAGAGGAATCGAACGAAAAGAATTTATATTCGCAAGTTTTTGTTCTTAATTTGAGCTTGTTGATGAGAGTGGAGGTCCTTGTTGCTGCCAATAATCTCCACTCAAGACAAACCAAGAGGATTTAGTTGGCCCACCACCAACAATCCCACCGTATCATAAGAATCCAAAAGTAACCGAATGGATTATGTTCATCAATTAAAATAACCCAACCAAACTAATCTAGTTGTATTTTTTTTATAAACGACTAAGTTGGATTGAATTTATTTATCGAAGAACTTAATGATTAAATAAATGCAAATATAATTCACATTTCAGAAAATTTTGACATCGATTTACACTTTTTTTTAATAGATTGGGAGTAATGGAGGTGATGGGATGAATAAAGTCCTTATTTTTAGAATCAAATCGGCTTAGTTGTAAGTGTTAGAATAATATGTATAGGATAATGCTAACGTTGTATTTTTAATAAATTAAGAAAAAAAAATTTACTTTTGGTCCCAATACAACATCTTTGACATTTAATATTTAAAAATATTACCAAATTAAGAAAAATGTTATCAATCATAATTAACAACATTTTTATAAATGTAATATAAAGTTCATGTTACCAAAAGGTTTTAGCAATATTTTAACATACCAATTGTAACATTTTATAAAGTTTGTTAATTGAAACCTTTTCTCACATTTAACAAATGTTACAAAATTATTTTTTAAACATCTAATCAAGATGATTTGGATCCATTATTGCTTCCTTATTAACTCCAAACAATTAATTGAAAACCTAATATATATATATATATATTGTAACACTGCAAGCATGAACCTATGTATTATGATGAATTAAAATAGAGATAAACCTCTTATTTAAACCTTTTTTTGTCTATCATGATATCATTTAAAAGACAACATTAATTTGTCAAGTTTGTAATATAACATGTAATATCTTATTTGTCAGAGATAGAACCAAAATCATTTAAGTGACTATTACATTTTTCTATGAATTCTCATCCTTTTTTGAGTTAAGTGTAACTTTCATGTCAAACAATAATATGTCTTGGTATGCACAATTTAAATTACCACAACTACCACTAGTTTCACTCTAAAATCAACAACATAAACAAAATAAAGGTATAAAAAGTTAATAACAAAACTTTGGATACTTTAAATATAGCAATATAGTCAAAAATGTTCTCCCATGCTTCTCATTTCTCTTTCCTCACTAGATCCTAGGACATTCTATTCCAACTTACTCCTCTTTCTTGGTTAATTAAAGGTTGATGGACGGCCAAAAGTACTTAGATTACGACTTTCATTTCTTATAAGTATACTTAAATTTCTAGCCTCGTGCATAGATAAAATGCATAATATAAAAATCTAACATGAATTAAAAAAAATAGAATAAGATACCAACTAGAATGGTTTTAGCAAGATTTTCCTTATTTTGAATTTCTAAAGCAAGATTTCTTCATAAATCAAATAATATAACAAAATGAAACCACCAAGATGAAACTCTTTCAACTTATTATCCTTCTTGTGTTGTTTCTTGTGAGTTTTTCCCTTTTTTTGATTTATCCAAGTTAATCACATAAAAATGAACTTTGGGCTTACATTCTCTTTTTCCTATTTGTTTTACTTGAAAAATCATTAATTGCTCTACTTGTGTCAAGTATAGTGCATTGATTGCATTTACCTTCAATCCTTTTAAAACACCATAAAATATCTCTTTTTCTTTTGAAGAAATTGTAAATCGTGTAAAAGGAAGAAATACCTTGTTTGATCCTATGTCTTTAGGATGAATTTCTTCTATTATACCCATCTCTACTAAGTTATGATGGGATTTGAGATTGTCCTTTGATTTCTCCTTTATATTCAATAATGTTCCAACCAAGTTTTCACATAAACTCTTTTCTATATGCATCTCATCTAGATTGTGATGATGCAAATTAGTCTCCTAGTATGAAAACTCAAAGAATATACTTTTTTTGGTCCATGAATCACCTTTTTCTTTTTTCCTCTTTTGATGTTATTTCTAAACACATTTTTTCTATCACCTAATATATCCAATATGTTAGACCTTGTTAATGGAATAGGTGATACTCCTAATTCTTATGTACCATCAAAATACTTCTATATTTTTGCCACCTATGTTTTGAGTCTAAAAATCTTTGATGACCCATATAGCACATCTCTTTACTATTCTTCGAGTACCTAGAGCATGTGTAGTGGTTACATACAGGACATGTCAATTTTTCACTAGTATGTAAACCTGATAACAAAGAATATATGCAAGCAAGTCACTAACTGTCCAAAGTATTGCAACATATGCCTAAAATAATTGCTTACTAGAAGCATCATAAGTTTCAAAGCCATTCTCCCACAACTCTTTTAACTCATCAATAAAGGTTCCAAATAGCTATCAATATTGCTATTATGGGAAGAAGAACCAAGAATAAGTAAAGACAACATCAAATAAGGTTGCTTCATACAATCCCATGGAGCTAAATTATATGTCATTATAATTATGGACCAAACACTATGTTCAGTGCCCATCATCTTATATGGAGTAAATCCATCGCTTGCTAACCTTAGCCTCACATTTTGAGGATCTAATGCAAAATTAGGATGTAGAGAATCCAATGTTTTTCAAGTAAGTGAATATGTTGGATACCTTAGTTTTCCATCTTTGGTGCAACCTTCATTATGCCATGTTATTAATTTAGCAGTTTTTTATGACATAAATAGCTTCTTGATCCTTGGTGCTATAGGAAAGTATCTCAAAATTTTGGCTAGAATTGGAGGTGAAGCTATCTTACAAGGAACATTTCTTCTAGAATTTTGAACCTTCATTTTTTTATACTAGGAAGAGTGACACTTAAGGAATATAACTTCATTCTCATACTCCTTTCAAAATAAGATATAATCCTTCAAACAAGCATGACTTATTTCATAACTAAAACCTATGTCCTTAATGATAAACTTGGAATGTTGATGGCAAGTAAGAGTTTTCAAAGAGCAACTTTTTTAGAAATTGCAACAACATATTAAATGATGTTGCTCCAACCATGAAGATTCTTAATATGAAAAAAATGAACAATGATTAATAACTTAGAGAAATTTTTACAACTAAGGTATTGGTGGGCATCATATACCAATTTGCAAAATCTAGTTGTTTCTTTATCAAGTTCTTCATTTTCTTCAGTTATAATATCATCAAATTCATTTTCTCCTAAATTTGTTGGCATCATGAAGGTCTCATCTAATAGTTCATCACTACAAAAAAAATTGGATTTAGCGACCACCAAAATCGAGGGAGTACCAAATTATTTGGGAGTCATTGTTGAAATTTTAGAGAAATATGAAGAATGTTAAACACTAAAGATAGAATCCATGAGTCTTAATCAGGCATCGTTTGCATGTGTTGAGGATATATATCATGGCCAGAATAACAACCATGAGGGGGCCGGGACCTTTACATGCATGAACAAGAGACTTGATAATCTTGACAACTACCGAGTTAATTGTTATCACAGGGACCAAAGTCTAATTAAGATTAATTGTTTTGTGTTGCATATTTGGATCGGAATGTGAACTTAATTGCTACATATATCTGGATGAGATTTTAAATTAATTGTTGTAGTTATCTGGATTATGGGACTTTATTCTTAATTTAATTATAGCTTGATATTGATCCCTTTTTCTTTTTTACTTCCAATTGATGATGTTATTAATTAAATAAGTGTATTGTAAATGTAAAATCTAGAAGAATTATTTTCTTTCAGATTTTTCTTGAACCAAACACATTACAAATAAGATAGCGATATATATATATATATATATTAGTGATAGATATTATTGTAACATTTATTGAGATGCAAATGATAATATATAAAGCACTCCCCAGTGGGATACAATGGAGGAAATTAAACCATCTTTATTCCCTCTTTGCTGGTTATTACTGCGAAACAAGTATTAGACAAGCGTAAACCCTCGTGCAAGCTGTTCGGTTTACCCTACAACGAACAAAGTGAATTTGATGTTACTGTCGTCTATAAATATATAATATATATGCATGAAATGTCCCAATGTTGTGTAGTTTGATAGGTTGACTATGGTGTGTAAGTATATGTTCATGGGTTGAAAGTGTATACTACAACAAAATAGATTTTTAGTGGTATTTAATATGACTTTTAGTGGCAATAAAAATTGCTAAAAAATTTTTTACTGGCATTTTAACATTAGCCATTGTATGAGGTAATGTGAGACTTGTAAGATGAGGGTTGTCTTCTACTTATATATATTTTTTAATTTTCTTATTTCTAGAATGGCTAATGTAAGACTTGTAAGATGAAGGTTGTCTTCTACTTATATATTCTTTTTAATTTTCTTATTTCTAATTGATGTGAAACTTGTAAGATAAGGATTGTCTTCTATTTATATATATTTTTTAATTTTTTAATTTTTTTAATTATCTTATCAATAGTCGGTCCCCTCAAGTTTAGGGACTATTAAGTTTGATAATAGTAAGTTTAGGGACTATTGAGTTTGATAATAGTGAGTAATCTCATACCAACTTAGAACAATAAGTTATAGGTCTAACTCAACCCTACAAAAAAAACTTATAAGGTGAGAGTTATCATCTATTTATATACTCTTTAATTATCTTGCTTCTAGTCGATGTGAGACTAAAATTTTTCTTAATAAATAATTGTCGCTAATAATAAATTTTGGTGTGATGTAAATACATTTTTAGTGATCATTATATATTAATTATTAATACTTTTATTAAATAATAAAATAAAGGTAATTAATTTATTGTCGTTAAATAATTGTCGGTAATAATAAATTTTGTTGTAGTGATAATCGATTCCATATCTCAAACATTTTATCACTTTTTTTAACTAGTGTGATAAGAAATTAGAATAATCTACATAGGATTCTAAGTATAAATCTTATTGTCATTATTGTAACATCTATAGAATAAAAAATATATGTTCATATGATTAATTTAGTTTTTATTAAATAAGTTATTAAATTTGTTTTTTTTAAATAAGGTCTCAAGTTCAAGTCTTTTGTATGAAAAAATATATTTAAGAGAGAGAATTTTACTAAAAGTAATTAAACAAATTCACCGATAAAGATTAATCATAAACGAAATCGATAAATACTTCATATCAATAATATGATTAAATTAAAAAAATTACTAATGATAGAAGCTAGCAAGTACCAACACCTAATTAACTATTAATATATGACATTGAATTAGTTGATTAAGGAGAGGGTCCATATGAGTGATCTTACGTGTTGCAATCTACGGTGGGGGTGATCTTGTAGCGCAAGTTGATCCCACAGGCGCCAGGGAGGGCTGCAAGTTTTGCAAGGTTTAGTCCAGGCAAGTTCAAAACATTGCTTTTGACGCATCTACATACCCCTCGACGATCTGAGGTGGTTTTTGCTCGGTTGTTTATGCTCCTAGCCCCGTTGCAGCATATTCCTGGGACACGTTCATTAGGACTCCTTAGGTACCTTATGCATGGTGCCACTGTGAACTGCACCTCGCCACATGGAATATCAGCTTCTGCCAAGGGAATAATGTGTCCAAAACTAACCAAGAACACTGCCACAGCCACGCAGGTAAGTTTCACAAGTAGAGGGCTAGATGAGGGGGCCGGGACCTTTACATGCATGAACAAGAGACTTGATAATCTTGACAACTACCGAGTTAATTGTTATCACAGGGACCAAAGTCTAATTAAGATTAATTGTTTTGTGTTGCATATTTGGATCGGAATGTGAACTTAATTGCTACATATATCTGGATGAGATTTTAAATTAATTGTTGTAGTTATCTGGATTATGGGACTTTATTCTTAATTTAATTATAGCTTGATATTGATCCCTTTTTCTTTTTTACTTCCAATTGATGATGTTATTAATTAAATAAGTGTATTGTAAATGTAAAATCTAGAAGAATTATTTTCTTTCAGATTTTTCTTGAACCAAACACATTACAAATAAGATAGCGATATATATATATATATATATTAGTGATAGATATTATTGTAACATTTATTGAGATGCAAATGATAATATATAAAGCACTCCCCAGTGGGATACAATGGAGGAAATTAAACCATCTTTATTCCCTCTTTGCTGGTTATTACTGCGAAACAAGTATTAGACAAGCGTAAACCCTCGTGCAAGCTGTTCGGTTTACCCTACAACGAACAAAGTGAATTTGATGTTACTGTCGTCTATAAATATATAATATATATGCATGAAATGTCCCAATGTTGTGTAGTTTGATAGGTTGACTATGGTGTGTAAGTATATGTTCATGGGTTGAAAGTGTATACTACAACAAAATAGATTTTTAGTGGTATTTAATATGACTTTTAGTGGCAATAAAAATTGCTAAAAAATTTTTTACTGGCATTTTAACATTAGCCATTGTATGAGGTAATGTGAGACTTGTAAACGACCGATTCTAATTTAGTCGCTAAAATTATTATAAATAATAAAAATTTTTTATTTTTTTAGCGACCAATTTTAATTTGGTCGCTAAAATTATTATAAATAATAATATTTTTATTTTTTTTAGCGACCGAAACCGTTCCGTCACTATTTTAATCAACAATTATAATTTTAGCGACTGATTTAGCGACTAATTATTTGCCACTAAAAATTCGGTCGCTAAATTGGTCGCTAAATAAAATTTGCAACCAAATCAGATTCGGTCGCTAATTATGTCGCTATTAGCAACGGGAAAAAATGGGTCGCTAATTTCGGTGGCTAAATTGACTTTTTTTTGTAGTGCATCCAAATTATCATTCATACTAAATTTCTCATGTTCATTATCATATGCCTTTTTTGAAGATCCACTTTCTCCATGAAAAGATCACTTCTTTTAATTTCTATCAAATACATCACAAACTAAATGCTCATGCACTTCCTCTCAATTACCCCAAGAACAATTTTTACAATTCTTGCATAGACATAAAATTTGATCTCCTTGGACAACATTTTAAAATGCAAAGTTTAGAAAATTTTTCATTCCATCCAAATACATACTAAATGATTTAGGTTATTGTACCCAACTCATCCATAACTGTTATTTCATGAAAAAAAAAATCAATATACCTAAAAATAAAGAAAATTCAATATATTACAATACAACAATTATTAGGAAAAAGAACATTCTTAAAAATTGAAGATATGATATCATGAATCAAATAAAATGGTCTAAAATTCATTAAATGAGTAAGATTCACTTCACTTATTACATGTTATAAATGCATAGGACAAGCAACAAGAAATTTGATTATTTCTCATATAAAAATCACAATGAACTTATCCTTTAAGAGAAATGCACTAAGTGGGAGTCCAATCTTCAAAATTTAATCATTTTCTCAATATAAATATACCTGTAAAAGTCCAAATAAAAAATCATTTATAAGGAATTCTAAAGCTTTCAAAAATTGGAATCATGTAAGTCATGACTTTTACATCAGTTTCTAATTCCCTAAAGATGACAAAAATTTAAGTAAAACTTCATACAATTTGTGATAAATATGTGAACTATGGTGACTAAATAATAATTTCTTCAAGACTAAATTTGTGATCTAAGTTTCAATGACCATGACACTCAAAGTAAAGCATGTGACATTTAATAAGGGTGTTGGTAATCCCTATAATATCCTGAATATGACCATGAATCATAATCTACCCAAAGCAAGATGTGTCTTGACTCTTAATTATTCAATGGAGCTCTTTTTTAGGCTTTGTTTCCATTGTCATTCAAGAGACATAATTTCCCATTGTAGTGGTTCACACCAAAATCAATGTATTTTTTTCTTTAAAAGGATAACAAAATAATAAATTCTTTTTACTAATATAGCTAAAGGCTATTCATGATTGATCTATTGGGCTACCTTTCTACTAGTTCAAAAATTTTGTACATTGGAATTAATTATAAATGATATCCGTTGTTGATATCATTTATAAACTAGATTCACTCTCTCAACTTTCGCCAATAGAACTATTTATTTTAGAGTTGGTGACTAATATGAAAATGCCAAATGGAAAATTATGTGATTACCATTTAGTCTACCAAATTGTTTTTATAAATTTTTAATTCTACATTATTGAATTATTCAAACATAATAAAAATACTAATAGGATTCGAAATCATAATTCATAACCAAAAAGTATCTTGTTGTCACATTAGATTTAAAGTGTGCTTTGATCCTTGTGGTCATGAATTTAAGTTTCTTGAAGTTGATCTAAGTTTCTCTGAAGAAAAAAAAAAGGAAAAAAAAAGGAAAATGATATAGGCATTACAGAAAAAAATAATAATAATAAGGATCATAATCAACATAGAAAACCTTAAAATAAATAAGTTCAGAGAAACAAAAAAAAAATGCAAGATTATTGTATAATAACAACAATACAGACACAAAAGGTTAACTAATAGTAATATAAGAGGTTAGAACAAAAAATAAACATGGCAGATATTCAATAATAAGGAAGGAGGGGGACCAAGTTCACTCAATGGACAGGTGAAACTAATGAAGAACCAGCCCAACAGTGATTCACATTGCTATCTCAAATAGAAAATGAGTTCAACTTAAGCCGTCACAGATTAACCTAATCCAACTTTTAACTTGCTAAAAAAATGAATTGAGTTGAAGTTGTTGACAAATTTAATTAGGTTAACTCATCAATTTATTAAAAATAATTTACAATTAAATTATTTGTTACTCTATTTGTCTTAAATTTTCTTTTAATTTTATGATCAAATATTATTTAGAAAAAGGAAAATTTGTAAAACTAGTAATAATTTAAATGATTTTAATATTTAATAGGCACTACTTAATAAGTCCATGAATAATAATAAAATAAGTTCGTCAATAACATTAAATTAAATGCACGATACAATGTGTGAGAAACTTGTCATTTATCTTCTATATGTGATGATGTGATGATAATACTGTATATGTATTGTTTAATTGAAAGAAGAATGTATTAAGGGGACATTTGTTAGACAAAATATTTTTACTTTTCTTGAAAGTTAGAGTTGAAAAAAAAGAATGTCAATTTCTCATATTTGGTATATCATTTAAAAACTAACATTTCTAGAAAACATGGTTTCTCAAAAATATATTTTTATGTATTTTTTACCAAATTGTTCATATGAGAATAGATGAAAATCTAATTAACATTCCTGAGTTAAGTGAATATTTTGTCACGATAAAAAATATTATGTTAATTGCTCGGTTAACATAGTAAAAATCTTTAGTTGTCAAGTAATATTTATAAATATTTTTCAAAAATATTTATAATCAACCAAACAAATTTAATCATTATTAGAAATTATAATTTTTAGGATATATGATTTTTAGACATGAATTTTTTTTTTATTTTACTAAATGTCTCCAAAAGAAGATAAAATAAAATATATTTTACAAAAAAATTCACTCATAATCTTCGAAAGAGTGAAAATAAAAATATTCAAGAAGTTCGTTCATTTCAGAACTAACAATTTTTTTTTATGAAGACACTATCAAATAAAACTTTTGAACGATCAATTTACAAGATTAACATTTTGAAGTTCTAAATATGATCGTTGATATATACAAGGCCAGTATATTATCATTTTATACTTCTAAATTCTTACAGTTCTAATATTTTAATATAATGTAATTTGCTTAGTTGACGTAATTTAGTGAAAAGTTGTGCACCCACAAACTACATTTAAGTTACATAAAGCCAAAAAACTTTGAGTTGCTTTAGTTATCTCCAACGGCACCATCATCAATTAAAGCTCAGACGTGTAAAGTGTATATGATTGATGAAAAAAAACAAAGAAAGATAAAGTTTTAAAAAAATGGTCATATATGAATATATGATAGTATCATACAAAGCTTACGAACTAGAATCGGCTTTAGCAGAACATAAATTTGATAGTTTGATTTGGAGGGTCCACCTGCTGCTGCATGCAACGCAATTGACATAATTGCATTAGGTGGTTTGCACACAAATATGGTCCTGTTTATGACGTTTCATCGTCTGTCACCTGCTTTATTATCAATTATCGAGAAAATTGCTACCACATCATTTACATGCCACACAATGAATTGAAATACCAACTCCATATTTTGCTGTTTTCAACAACACTAAAAACAACATATTTTGCCTGATATATGTGAACGCTCAAAAATTCAATGGGAGTTGGTTTCTCTGAGAAAAAAAGTTACATAACTTAGGCAAGTATGTAATTGTAAAATTTGGATTCATCCAGCAATTTCAACCATAATCACAACAATTTTGTTAATTTTTAATTGAATATACTTTTTTATTGATGGGCCATTATTAGTCATACCTAACGGATTTATTTTTGGTATAGATTACCTGACGGGTATTTAAATTTATCTTTATTTTATAATCATTATTACAAGAAATGTTATGTAGTAATTTTTTATACTTTTTTATCTAATATATTTTTAATTATTGATTAAATATTTGTTAGAAACTATAATTTTTTGTAATTTAATTAATGACTCGAGTCATTTTTTTTTTAATTTTCAATAATTAGTATTTTTATTATATAATTACAACAAAATTCATTATTATCGACAATTATTTAACGATAATAAATTAATTGTCTCTATTTTATTATCTAATAAAAATACTAATAACTAATATATAATGGTTATTAAAAATGTATTTACATCATACCAAAATTTATTATTAACAATAATTATTTATTGAAAAAATTTAAGTCTAACATCGACTAGAGATAAGATAATTAAAAAGTATATATAAGTAGATGATAACTCTCACCTTTGAAATTTATTTTGTAAGGTTGAATTAGACCTATAACTCACCATTATCAAACTTAATACCACAATTTAAAAATGTTTACTTTGTAAAGATTGATTAGACAAATTGTTTGATACTTGTATCCTTTGGTTAAGGACTGAATTTGATCTCTTACGATTAAATATATTATTTTATTCTTATAAGACTCGACTTGGTAAACAAATCCTCATTAAACTAAAAAAAATATTCAACTAATTTGATGAAATACTTCAAATTGTGATTTAATCCAATATAACACTAAACTTATGGACTAGAGTGAATTGCATTGAAAAGTTTGTAAATTGAAATCCAATCATGCACTTATTGTGTGTTTTGAAAAAAATGTAAACAATGCTTAACATGGATCTCCAAAAATGTTGTCAAACTTGAGTCAATAAACCACTAGGACCAATATAATAGTGGAAGAGTTGGGATAGAATGATCAAAGTCTTAGATTCAAATTTTGATGTGTCATTATAATTTTAATAAATCAAAAATAAAAATTGGGTCAACAAACTCGCTTGAGATAAAGAGTAACAAAAAATCGTGTCTATTTTACTAAATTCAATATACCAATTAAAGCCTATGATTTCTTTGTTTGAAATTTATCTAACCTTTATTAGCTTAATATTATTTCATTTTTTGTAGAACTTAGATAAAATAGAAGAAAAGAATTAAAATGGACAAATTTAGGCAAATCGCACTATAAGAAAATTGCCATATAGTGTGACACGCATCTTATAGTGACACAATAAGTGTCACTAAAAACTAATTTTACCTATATAATAAATATAATATATGTTAGTATATTATTAAAAAGTGTGAGTATAAGTTAGAGTGACACACAAAATATGTTGTTAAATCTCATTCAAAATCAACACTAAATATTATGTGTAACTATATGCCAAATAGATATATACTTACATATATTATACTTATAGTAACATTTTTTGTATATCACTATATGTAATATTTATTGTAGTACCCACAAGCTAGCCTTGCTAGAAAATAAGTGACTCAAAAAAAATTTAGTTCAAACAGGCTCATTTAACAATTTTAGTTAACGACTCACCTCTCTATATTAGAGAATCTCCATTTGACAGCTCTAACCTCCAATGTAATAGCTGTTTTTGCATAATCTTTTGACATGATTTTATAGTAAACTTGAATCTTGATGGAGAACTAAACACACATTGTAATTAGTAATTGAAATTCAAACATAAATTTTAGCTTTGAATTGTGTGTAAGCATGAGAAATGAACTCGGAGTGGTTGAAACTTCTTGACTTCATCCCGACTTTAGAAAAATACCTCACTTTTGATCGAAATAGGATTTGCATTTTTTTTTTGAAAATGTCAAAGTTGGGGATGGGGAAGCTAATACTCACACCCAAATCCATCTGACAATGATGAAATTACAAAATACCCATACATACAATTAAAACATTCCTAAATGAAAATGGAATCAGATCGAAACCATAGCCACACACATCAGTTTCTTTCGTTCTTTTGTCCTCCTTTTCACCTTCAAGATGATGTTATATATCATTTTAAAATTAGTTTAAGCCCTTTTTCTTAATTATTTCCAAGAAAATCAGTTGTCATCGCAATGTTCATGAACGACTCTTTCTCTAACATTTTTTTTATTACCAGTAACTATGACTCGGTTTAAGAATTTAATAGGTCTAATTAAAACTAGTTTATGTGTTATACATAAGTTAATTTGCATTTTTTTAAGGAGTTATATAAAAAATTTCTATAAATTAATTTAAACATAAGCTAATTTTAATATATATAAAAAATTATTTCATTTTTTTTAATTTTTAGATAAATTTATACAAACATGTCTGACCCTTTGAAAGAATATCGATTGAATTTCAGTTATGCTCTGTTCGTAGATTTCAGATTTGTCATTACGCTACTCTCAGATTTATATTTGCAAATCTCTCGGTTATTACTCAACCACTAGATAAGTAATTTTAGTTCTCTCTTCTTGCATATACATTCTTTAATATTTTCCAATTTTATTTTGTGGAAGTTACAAATGCTCTCCGGTGATGGATGGCGGTTTTGAACTTGATGAAATATGATTTATCTTATATTAAAACTTAAATTATCATTATATCATATTAGATCTCAATAAAGAAGAGAAAACACATTATACATGGATCTCAACGTTGATTTTCTTAACAAATCTCAATACTAACTAAGATACACATCAAACAAGAGGAACTTTGAACTTGTCACCTTTCCTTCTTTTGCATTGGATCCTACTTTGTCCACAACCTTAACTGCAGCATAGCCATTAGCACCATAGTACTTTCCTGAGCCTCCAATAACTGCAACATGTGACTCAAAAACATCACTCTTGTACACTCCAAAAAGCCTCAGTCCATCATCCTGAAACTCACCTTTCAAAAAGCTTGCTGTGATAGCCACCATATGGCTACTTTCATCCTCTGAGCTAGCAACACACACCCCTTGTGCCTTTCCAAGTTTTCTTACTTCACCTCCATCACCTTCTTCAAGTAGTTCCTCATCTATTGGTGTTACTGATCCATACTCCATCTCTTGAAGTGTTGCTATAGTGGGAAAAGAGAAGCCAATACTAGACAAATCAAGTGTTTGTGTGGAAGATGCAGTGTGTGGCATTGTTGGAGTGGATTCAGGTATTGGAATCCCTCCATTACGGAAAGGTGGTTGACCATTGACCTTAGGTTTCTCTGAATATGGTGTACTAACATTCAGCATGTCCCTCATTAAAAATGTTATTATTTGATGACCATGGTTGTGGCTAGAAGATGGATGGCCAAGAGTTCGAGATGAAGAAAACTTGTTCATGAACAAAAGTAACATGAATATTACCACAAGAGAAGGAAGTCTAGTCATTGTTGCATGCATAGCTTTCTTTTTACATTAGCATGCTTGGTTCATATAGTTAGTCTTCAAGTGTGGTGGTTAGAATAATATAACTACCAATACTAATCAGCTGATTTATATCTCAATTTAGGGTTAAGATACACCAATCTAATTTTTTTTAATTACAATAATATGGGTATAAAATATTTACAATAATTAATATTTGTAGATATCATGAATGCACATTAAATAAGTATTTTTTTTCTGATATAATCTTTTTTTAATGATAAAAATAGATAAGACCTAATCTTATAACATGACATATTTCAAGTCTTATTTAACCTGGCTTAATTAATCAAAAATGTTAGATTTAAATTTTTAAAAGAAATTATATACATGAAAAGGTTGAGCTTAAATTTACTGAAAGTAAATTAGCTAATCTTTATTATTGATTATTTAAAATATTTCGAATGAATTACAAAAAATATTAATTTTTTTTTAATAAAATTATCTTATTTTATAATATTTGTACATAAATGTACAATAGTGTATATAAATATGAGTTGATCATCTTATGTTAATTTTTTTATTTTTATTTTAAATTCTAAATTTTAATTATAATAGAGTAAATTATTTTTTATTACACAAAATAAAAATAAATTTTTACACATATTTAAAAATATATTTAAAATCACTTATTTAAAATTGAATTAATCTATTTAATATTTTTAATATAAAATTGATTAACAAGTCAAGTCAAGTTTAAAATATAATTAAAAGAAACTTATAATAAATAATAAATCAAACAAAATATATTCAGAATATATATTTAAAATTTAATTTAATATACTTATTCTCATTCCTTGCATACTCAAAACCAGATTTCAATGACTAAACAAGAAGTCCACAATCAATACCACTTATGTCAAGTTTAGAAGTTTGGATGGATCTAGATTAGGTAGTGCATGCCGCAGAAATGGAGCATATAAACACACCCCAATAATTAATGTAACCATTTAAAAGCTAATGACACTAATGATGCCAAGAAAATTCAATAGTAATGGCCATGAATTTGATAGTTTGATTTGGAGGGTCCACCTGCCGCAACCCGAGTGACATAAAACCTGATCCGACATACTATGCATTAATTCGGTTGAAAAAAAATATCCTCTGTTTCAGTGTGACGTTTCATCGTTAAGTTGTCACCTGCTCTTCCATGACATCATATACCAACTCCATATTTTTGCCTCTGATTTATGGACGCAAAAATATTCAATTGGAGTTAGTTTCTCTGACAAAAAAATTAAATAATTTATGCAGGTAAACCGAAAAAACTGAAAAAAATGACGTATATAACTATAAAAGTTGGATTCATGCAACAAATTGAAGGATATTTATAGAATTAGACAAATATCCAATTGTGTGGAAGCTATCAATGAAGGGTTTAACCTTTTTTTTTTACTTTCTTGATAAAAGATTTATAATTTTAATATTTAAATTCCAAACTAAAAGTTAATGTTAATATAATCAATGTATAAAAAAATGTTAATTTAATATTTTCTTAACCAATTTAATCAGTTCAATATAAACTAGAAACAAATATAATGAATCAGACTAATATTGGTTTTATCATTGCTTAATCTACTTAGTTCTATGAATATTTCTACGTTAGAACTTATTTTAAGTTGTTAATCTACTTTTTTCTTTTTTTCACAAGTTTCGAAAGATTTAATAACTTCTTCTGTTTCTTAATTAAAAACTTAATAAGGTTTTTAATTCTTATAAGTTTTATACAATGGACTTTAACATTTTTTTGGGTTTCCTCCTTTTTTACAGCAAAAACTTGGCTTTTGAAATTTTTTACAGAAAATCCAAAAGCTGTGAAAGTTATTTCATTATACTCTAAATATTGTAACTATATCTTATATATTATGATTTTTTTTCTATAATATCTTCTGTTCAGCAATACATACTATCATATATACGGTAATAAAGTTCAATTTCTTAGTCAATACTTTTACTGTAACTTTGTTAATATTCAGTTACTTCATAACTACAAAACACTATAACAAAAATAGTTTTTTTTAATATTTTAATTTTTTTTATCTAATTATGTATAAATTTTATTAATTTATTTTTATAACATATTAGTAAATGTCTAACATTTGAAAAATATTATCTAATTACGTATAAATATATATTAACAAATATTGTATATAATTTATGTTACTAAAGATTTTTAATAACATTTTTACAAAATTAGATAATATTTTTTAAATATTATTAAGTGATATTTTTGTAGCATTTTAATGATATTGTTAAATTTTTGTTAACTTTTATAAAATAATAATTAGTTTTAATATAGATGTTATTATCAATTATATTTTATGACTCTTAAAGAATTAAAAGAAAATTAAATTAAAAACATTTTTAGTTAGTCGGTACTTATATATCAAATATCAAAATTCAATTATTTTAAATATAAATCTACGATTATATATATTCTTTATGTGATATTCATCTATTTGATTTAAGACTTTAATTATAAAAAATAATTACAAGTAAAAAAAGTATACTATTAAGATAATAAAAAAATTACTCTATTTATAATAATATTTTACAAAATAAACATATTTAATTAATCTATAATAATATTTTAAAAATATAAGTAAGTAAATGTTTGTTTTAAAAAAAAAGTAAGATAAGGTAATTAAAATATAATGAGTTGTTAGCCTCAAACACGAAAATGAATATATAAGCCAAAGTAAAATTATTCCTCCGATTGCGTGTGCAAATTTATTTTTTCCCTAACTTGAGGATCTAATTAATTAATCATCATACAAGCTTTTCCATGGTTTAGTGACAGATAGGTAAATATTTATTGTTGTTTTTGTAGGATAGAAAATATCTTTTACCATGCAGTCCCCTTCGAAATCCTCGTCAAAAGGTGCCACAAAATATCACAGTTTGCCTATTGCAGACAGCGAAGGGGGTAACTGAAGGTAGAGAAAGATATTTTGAACGTTGTGCTTTCCTTTTTCTCCCTTTCCTTTTGTATCTTTTTTCCCAATCTTAGATTCTTATCAGCCATGTCTGATGTCAAAAGCAAAACACGGCCAAATGAGACAGCGGCAACGAAATTTCCACCATACCAAAGTCACACTCACATTCAGAACTAGCTCATTTTACATTGGTCCATACCCATCCCTACTCGCTTCACCTTAGTGCAACCGTAAAATCAAAGGGATTACCCATTGATTTGGTACCAACCTGCTTAATATTATACTATTCTAAACAAAATTTAATCATGATTAGGTACGCAAAGTGGTTCACAATCTGTGACTACATAACCCCACCACTGTATCCTTAAACTAACCACATATTCTCACTTTGCATGAAATTAACTTGCTATGTATCTGCCACACTAGCCTTCAACTTTTGATTCCTCTTAGGCCAACAACTCACCAAGCCCCACCTCCTATAAATTGCCCTTTTTCCACCATCAATCTTATTCTCACCCTAATCAAAAACAAACAATAACTTCCCCCTGCCTCTCATTATATATACCCTTTTGTGTAAAAACTTGTTTCAACTTGACTAAAATTTTGTTACCTATAGTAATATCTAGACATATATACATATATATGAAACGCAGGTAAAAAGTGTTCACATATGTACTTCCATGTTATCTCTCTCCAATCTGAAACCTAGTTAACACTATTGCTTTGTTGTGTTCCACTAGGACCATCTCTGAGGAAAGATTTTAAGCTGGGAATCAAGCAGCAGAAACGGTCCCCAATTTGGATAACAACCACCTTACAAATCCCGAAACAAAATTTCACCCTTTCATTTTCCTTATCTCTCAAAAGATAAAAAGCGATTCTCCAATTTTCTCCCTGTTGTTCCGTGTCCTTTACAACACCGAATCCTCAGAAGAACACTCTAGAGTACACACACACACACCAACAAAGAAAACCTCACACCCCATCAAATTTTTAGCACAAAGCCTCAAACTTTCCACAAAATCAAAGAGACCCAGAAGAGAAATGGAAGCATTGACCATGCAACGGCGTTTTCTGGAGACGGAGCTGAGCATGCCGCCGTCGTACGGCAACGGCACGCGCGCATCGTTCATCAGCGACGCCAACTTCGACACGAACATGGTGATAATCCTGGCGGCGCTGCTGTGCGCGTTGGTGTGCGCGCTGGGGCTGAACTCGATCGCGCGGTGCGCGGTGCGGTGCGGACGGCGGTTAGGCCACGAGACGGCGGAGCAGGCGGCGGCGCGGCTCGCGGGGACGGGGCTGAAGCGGCGCGAGCTCAGCCGGATACCGGTGACGGTGTACGGCGGCGGAGGAGAAGAGATTCCGGTGACGGAGTGCCCCATATGCCTCGGGGAGTTCGAGAAGGGTGACAGGGTGCGAGTGCTGCCAAAGTGCAACCACGGCTTCCACGTGAAGTGCATTGACAAGTGGCTCTCCTCGCACTCTTCCTGCCCCAACTGCCGCCACTCCCTCCTCGAGAAACCCGCCTCCGCGCCGGAGGGTGGCCGCGGCGGCGGCGGCGACGTCGTGGTGGTGGTCGAGCAGGCGAGTTAAATGAGGGTGGATGGTCCGGGACAAGTTTTGGTGGGAAATTTAATGTTAGTTGTTAGAGTAGTTATTAATTAGTTGGTTGTTAATAAATTTCAACTAGTGAGTAGCGACCATCCATACACCTTTATTTTTTGTTTTAAATTATAGCATATGATAATATATATGTCAAAATGTGCGTGTATCAGATATATATAAACATGGTTGAAAATGTACATAATGATCTTAGTGTTTTTTATTATTATTATGCGTGCGGCATCTTCTATAAATATATATATTTATCGGGCTTCGAATTAATGGATGATAGGTTAAAGCCATTAGAGTTGTCCTACGATGGACTAGAGTTTAGATATAGAGTATAAAGATAAGAGGTGCTCATAAATGAAATGGACGAAGATGGAGGCCAGAGTACAAGAGTGAGCATTCTTTAGGGGCTAGAAAAGACTACGAAACTTTAAAGTTCAAATTAATTAATGTTCTGCTTCTCTTTGTGGGTCACTCTCTTGTACATAATCTTTTTGGTTTAATTATGATTTTATTCTTTATAATTTGGTTTATGTATATGATTTTGAGCTCTTTATTTGTTTTACTAATTCAAATTTTCCTACATTTTTTTTTTGTTTGAAGAGACAATTTTTTCTACATAAAACATTCTTGTTATAAGTTTAACTAATTTGTTTAAATAGACGAGTTTACAATTTAGATTTGATTTATTTAATAAAGATTTGGATTGTTTAAGCTTGACTTATTTATCTTATCTATAACCTTGATTACTTTTTTCCATAAAACCAATATTTTCTTGAAGTATTAATTTTTATATTTATTAATTTAGATTTAGTAGACAAATTTGGGCTAAAAGACAAAGTAAAAGCAACAAAATAAACGATTTTGTCATGTAAAAGTTAGGTAATAATATTTTTTTTAGATAAAACTATATTTAATTAGTATATTTCCTTTTGTTATTTAAAATTAACATTTTTATTATTAGCAAATAGACATCAATTATTCACTACCGTTAAACACATGGATCGATTTGTATAAAACTATTTAATTTTAAACCAATGGTTTGAAGTTTAAATCACAGATATATACTATTCGGTTGTATTAAATATTTGGAAGAGGAGTTTTGCCAACTATAAAACTTTTATAAGCTCAAATTATAAAATTATCTCTAATAAAAAAATATTTGTTGTTTATAAAAAAAAAAATTTCAAGTTTACAAAATTTGAATTTAACGTAACATTGAATTAAATTAAAAGTAAAATTTATTAAATTCATTTATTTAATAAAGTAAATAAATTCTTATCAATAGTCGGTCCCCTCAAGTTTAGGGACTATTAAGTTTGATAATAGTAAGTTTAGGGACTATTGAGTTTGATAATAGTGAGTAATCTCATACCAACTTAGAACAATAAGTTATAGGTCTAACTCAACCCTACAAAAAAAACTTATAAGGTGAGAGTTATCATCTATTTATATACTCTTTAATTATCTTGCTTCTAGTCGATGTGAGACTAAAATTTTTCTTAATAAATAATTGTCGCTAATAATAAATTTTGGTGTGATGTAAATACATTTTTAGTGATCATTATATATTAATTATTAATACTTTTATTAAATAATAAAATAAAGGTAATTAATTTATTGTCGTTAAATAATTGTCGGTAATAATAAATTTTGTTGTAGTGATAATCGATTCCATATCTCAAACATTTTATCACTTTTTTTAACTAGTGTGATAAGAAATTAGAATAATCTACATAGGATTCTAAGTATAAATCTTATTGTCATTATTGTAACATCTATAGAATAAAAAATATATGTTCATATGATTAATTTAGTTTTTATTAAATAAGTTATTAAATTTGTTTTTTTTAAATAAGGTCTCAAGTTCAAGTCTTTTGTATGAAAAAATATATTTAAGAGAGAGAATTTTACTAAAAGTAATTAAACAAATTCACCGATAAAGATTAATCATAAACGAAATCGATAAATACTTCATATCAATAATATGATTAAATTAAAAAAATTACTAATGATAGAAGCTAGCAAGTACCAACACCTAATTAACTATTAATATATGACATTGAATTAGTTGATTAAGGAGAGGGTCCATATGAGTGATCTTACGTGTTGCAATCTACGGTGGGGGTGATCTTGTAGCGCAAGTTGATCCCACAGGCGCCAGGGAGGGCTGCAAGTTTTGCAAGGTTTAGTCCAGGCAAGTTCAAAACATTGCTTTTGACGCATCTACATACCCCTCGACGATCTGAGGTGGTTTTTGCTCGGTTGTTTATGCTCCTAGCCCCGTTGCAGCATATTCCTGGGACACGTTCATTAGGACTCCTTAGGTACCTTATGCATGGTGCCACTGTGAACTGCACCTCGCCACATGGAATATCAGCTTCTGCCAAGGGAATAATGTGTCCAAAACTAACCAAGAACACTGCCACAGCCACGCAGGTAAGTTTCACAAGTAGAGGGCTAGCCATGATTAGGAAATATTGGTGGAGGAAATTACACTTCAAGAGTTATAGCTAGTGAGTGTAGTGAAGGTCGTGATGATGATATTAATTTTTGTTATGTGCACTATATATAGATAGAATATAAGTTCTGCCGGGTACATTATATCAAAGGTAAATTAAGAAATTAACCTATTGTCAATCAGTTTAAATAGAACTGAATTCAATTTTTTCAAATAAAATTTTATATTTGAGTTTTATGGATTAAAAAAATATTATTGAGACTCCTCTTCATATAATTACATTTATAAAGATTAATTATTAATAAAATTGATATTCGATAATATATTGATTGATAATACGATTATGGCCTAAAGTATGTAATTATTACCGGTTGATTTCATTGAATGCAAGCAATTGAATGACCTCTAGCTAAAACCTACAAAATAATACAATGAGTAGATATTGGTTTAGTCAAATATGTATATATGACAGTTCAAAATGGGTTGCACAGTGCAAACTTGATCACCCGTTTCTGTATGTGTATGGCCATGTGGTTTGGATAGTTTCTGCATCCCCCAGAATGATCTTTTGGGCCCTAAGAGATGTTGCCACTTTCCTAAGAATTAAAATTTTTCACATGACTGCACGTTGCATGTAAATTTTAAAGTGAGATTTTTTAAAATATAATAATAATGTCTTTTAATTAAAAAAATAAAAATATTTTAAGGATGAGTTTTAAAGAATAATTATATTTACTTTAATCTCTCATAGTATCTTTATTAAATCAAGGTAATCTTTTTGCTATTTTATTAAACTAATTCGATTAATTTAATGACACGTGACAAAT